GGCAAACGTGTTTAAAACATATGTGCAGCATGACCAAGGGAAAAGTGTGGAAGAAGTAGAATACTATTCGCATATATGTATCCAAGGAATGTGTTGCTTGCATTTTGTGCCTAATTTCGATTCGGTTGCTATCCATCAAAAAGCGAAATGGAATGTTTATAACGTGTGACCAACTCAAACGGGCCGTTACTTAATCCTAATGCATCATAATAATAATTTTATTAACACTTTTCAATGCTTGTATATGTGTCTAGTCTAGACTGTACAAAATGTGGATTAGACATGCTTTAATGTGATTCCAAATCGAAAGATTTCATTTCTTTTTTCCTCCAATTTATCTAGAAATTATAGTACAGAAACGCATTTCAGATGTGGGTTCAATAACTCCCTCCACCTGAATATTATTATTTATTTAAGTAATCGGGGATCGATGTCAACTATGGTTCGGAACCACATAAATCACTCAAGCGTGTGAATTTATGGCTACAAATAATCGAACAACCCACATAAGTGAACCAATTGGCATTGTTGTGTGAGGAATGGTATCAATAGACTGCTTTCCTCTTACTTCAAATTTTGAAGTTCAAAATTTCAACCTCGGTTTCAGTTTCTAATTTTAGCAGGAAAACGTACCATTGACAAAATGTTCCAATCATGAAACATACCTAGGTATTTGTTTGATAATACCAAACAAAATTACGGGAATGAGAAATGTGACATTAAATCTCTTCAAAAATATCAAAACCACACCATAAATTGACTATTGGTTTAAAGTTTCATATCAAAATACAAACGCCAAAACAATTGCAACTAAAATGGATGACCAGTCAATGGTTCGCTGGAAGGGAAGTAGTATAAAAAATTCAAGTGATTGTGTTGAGAAAGAAAGAAGGAAAATCAAGTTGTTATCGATATATATATTTTCGGTACACTTTTCTGCTTCTATCCACCGAAGTGATTTGAGATTGATTTTCCGAAATGGCGATTGTTTACTTTTTCGCTCATACATTTTTTTTTTTTTGCTTTTCAAGTTTGTGGGGAATCGAAAAATCTTTAAAATTGCTAGGGTTTTTCGCAACAAAAAATGTCTTGATTTGCGAGGGTTTTTTGCGCGGCCGATGGACCCCCCTTAAATTTTTTCCGTGCCCATGTTTGCTTTCGCTTACGACAGTTGAAAAGCACTAAATTCCATTCTTATAACCCATGCACTACACTTTACCAGAGACATACATACGCTCTGCATTTTTTTTTTTCATTTATATAGTCTCTCGTTGCGTAGGGATTTCTAAAAAACCTTTTCATCGTCGACTTTTCGCAATATTAGTTGTTGATATAAAACATATTTTTGGTGAAATACTTCGTCACTTTGCAACTATATTTTTTCCGAGTGAATATTTGTTGTCATACATATATGGCGGAGAATACTCTCAACGGCCAAATCAGTGCCATTCATCATTTACTATGTTGTACGAAATGTTGCCTCTTGATTGCATCAAATCCATATATTGTAAAATGCATTGAGTCAACAAAAACTTGATAATATGTATGACAAAATATGTGAAATTCACATTTTCGTAATATCGCCAATAAAAATCGATTGGAATGTTTTGATTGCATTTTGGCCAGATATTGCATGTTGGCGTCTCGCCTCTCGATACATTTTAAAGTTTTTGGCTCTCAGCATGATGTACGTTAAATTATTGTACATTTCAACGATATGAAAAAGTTGCCCAATTTTTTCCATCGAAAACTTTGTTTATGAAATAAACACTGCTTGTCAAAATGGTTTTGAGAATAACAACAACCACTGGTGGGAAATGTCAAAATCAGTACGCAATAAATTCTTAAATGGCTACAACTTAGGCATGGAGTTAGAGAGTTAACCGTAAAAACAAAATCATGAATTTTTGATGGACCAAAAGTTTTGACGTCAAGAAAAAGTATAGTTTTCGTTTTCTTTTGTAGGACAAACAAAGCATGCCTTCAATATTTTATCTCGTCTCAACTCTATAAATTAATTAAATTTCACACATCGAAAAAACTGAAAAAAATGTTAGAAAGTGTTGAAATAGAGGAAATTGAAAAAAATATATCAAACAACGCATGTTAAATCAACAATTGATAACAAAAAGCGTGATTAATCGTTCACTTATCGTAAGTCCAGCACAACAACCATTATGTGAATGCAACAAACATACTAACAATAGAAGCAAAGGAAAGAAAAAATAAAAAGAACATCCAATACTGAGCGCGCACAGTTTTCATTGAGTTTTATTAGAATTTAATTTTGTTCTTTTTTTGTTTAGAAGATTCTTGTGGGAACAAACAACATTGTTTTTGTACTTATACAGTATACACATCAATTGTTATTAACCCAAGTCTCAATTTCAATTCTGAATGAGTTGATGGTTTGCATTTCTACATAGAGCATGCTCATACATGCGCACATACATTTCAAACTTAGAAATATAAAAGTATACTAATGCAAAATGATGTGGGCATTTTTTTTAATAACAATAGCTTGGATATTTAATTGCGTTGCCTCTATATATTGTGGAACCGGCTGCTTCATGTTTTGCATTTATGTTCCTTCATTGCTTTAATTTTTCAGTGAACAAAGGAGAATCAATTTCTCATTCGCACGAACAATTTTGAATTTTGAATGAATGGAATTTTGAAACAGAATTCAATTCAAGAGTACATTCGCGTTTTTAATGAACTTGCATAACTTGTTGGAGTATTATTCATTGCTGAAATTTGCAGAACGAAAATCAACGTAAAAATAATATGAAACATCAAAACTCCGAATATGCCCGACTAATTTGCGCGATCATGCTGATAGGAAAATGTATCGTGTCTGTTTCATTCATGCAATAAATTCCAAGACGCCAGAATTTTTGATCAGCTCGAGAAAATGAAAGATGGAAAGCCATTAAATAAACTTTCTTTCTTAAATTCATTAAAACTTCGTTCAACATTTGAATGGGGAAAGTATTTAAGCATGAAGTTGCTTATCTCGTATTTTATATCATGTCGTGTTTGTGGATAATTTGAATTATACATATTTTTTTAAATATCAACATGAAAGTGTAAATTGCAATTCAATGGAATTAATTTAAACTGATTTTCTAGCATGAAATTTTTGTCAAATACAAAAACAAACATTTTTGTCTGCAATATAAATTGAACCAAAGCGAAATTCGCAGTCCAAATTATTTGTAAAATATGTTCAAATGAGATATTTTTCAATAAAAAGTGATTTCAAATGCATAATTTAACACGAGTATTTACATATAATTACTCCTTCTTTCACTTCACTTCACCGAAACCAATAAAGGATTTTCTCACATGGATTGAATAATTAATATACAAATAAATGCATGTAGCATACCATTAAATGGTTAAAGTGATGATACGATTTTCTAACCGTTTTTAATCTTCACTGAACTCACCAGTGCAAATAATTTCTCCGAGAAATTTAATTGATTTGATTAATTAAATTTTCATTGAATTGATGATATTCAGAGGCTAGTCTTGTGGTGTTGAGTTTCGTCAAAGTGACGAGCAATAATAATAATATTTCCAGTTGAGTGATTGAGTGAGTTGTGACTAATTGATAATTAACCATAATTTTCGGAACAACAGCTTCTGTAACTAAATATTTAATTCGAATGAATTGTCAAGGTAACACACCTTAGAAAGAATTTACGCTTCATTGTCAAGCAATTTAAATTATTATCTTCAGCTTCGATAAACCATTCAGATCGTAGACGCACACCCATTTACTAATTTCATTTATAAAAAAGTAAAAAGGGTTCCACATCTTCAAACTGCGTTAAAATGTGAGTGGCAAAAAATTACCGCCATGTATTCCATCTTGTGAAAATCTTTCAACCTCTTTACATATTTCTTACGTTTTTCCTGAAACTCGAACATTGCATTACTGACAATGTATTTGAATGTGTACAGTGTACGACCCATAATACATGAATGGTTATGTAAACCTACAAATTAAGCTTTTGAAAAACTATTCATGCTGAAATCTCAAATACTTAAAATGGGTCATTTTCTTGGACCAACTTTAAACTTCCTTCTTTGATGCTTTCAAATTTTACGGTTTTACATTCAACCATGCAATATTTGTTTTTCAATTTGAATTCAATCCATTCATTTGGCCGCCGGCTCAAACATACATTCGAATATAAATCGCACTCACATACAACTAACACAACCATCTTAAAAGACCAAATCTGCAGTTCTTCACTCTTTTCTAGCTTTTGTTCCATTGATTCATCTGTTCCTCTCTGTTGGCTGTTTCCGTTTTCTTATTTCACCTCACTCTTTGCTATCTCGATGCATTGCCTTCTTCCTGTATAGTGTAAGCTCTTCTTTTTTTGTCCTTTTTTCAACTATCCGTTTCGTACAAACGATTATTTTATATTTTCAACTCCATTCTATTCTATTTTAGATTTTTTTCGCTCTCTATCTTTCACAATTCAGCTTTCTTCATTGAACTTAAGTTTGCAATGCAAAAACTGGGAAGGAATCAATGGAGGCGATTTGGATGTTTGGTAGGGAGCATCAACAAGGCAAGCAGCAAAAATGTTTTTTATTGACGTCGAACTTTATACTTTCTCACTATCTCTTTTGCAAAGTTGAACGCAAAAAGGGAAAAAAAGAAGTTCATCGTTTATACTTAGTTCGATGAGAAAAGTGGTTCCTGCTATGAACGAATAGATAGATATCAATATAGCTAGCTATATAGGAAAAAAGCAGTAAAGTCAAAGACAACGAATGAATGAAATAAAGTGAAAAACGAAGATAACGAAAAAATGGCAAAACTTACACGCAAGAATCAATGCACCATCATATATGAACGATAGAATAATGTATAGCAAAATGGACGAAAAAACATGAAGACAGCCAATATAAGCAAGAAAATCTTGATGAATTTATATGTGCGGAATTCCTTTACAGGGCGATGAACTAGAGCTACTTACATTCAATTATCTGTAAAGAAAAGAGAAAAAAATCATTACTACTTATTTTTTAGACTATTAGGAAAATAACTTCTAAATTAGAAATTGTCTACTCATTTTGCTTGCAAGAAATTGAGCACCCTGTGTCGAACACCATGATGCTTTATCATCCTTTTTGAATGGAAGTACTACGTAGTTGCATTGAGTCTTATTGAAAAATGGTCGATAATATGTTTTTATTGTTATTGTGTGAATCGAAATATATGCACTCTTATGGATTTCAGACCGATAAGGATTCTCAACATCTATTTTTATCTCTCGTTCTTCTTCTTCGCTCTGATTCAAACAAATAAATGGACGGGATATAGAAAACAAGCATTGCCTTTTTTCGGATGTGTGTGTGTAGAGAAATGAAAGAGCAAAGCCAAATAAAATGAAATGAAAACCACTAGATATTGAAATGAATTGAATATAAATTTACATATTTTTCTTGAAAATATAAATGTATATGATGTTTTTGTATTGTGTTCATTGGTTACTATGCATTTGCGAGTTATTTTGACTGAATGCGCATTTTTATTTTCATACATTACTTCGTTTGAACTGACATCATTTGCTTTCTGCAGTTTCTGCATCATTTCTATTTGATAATCTTCGGACAATCAGAATGGAAAAATGCCATTCAATTTGAGATGAACTCAATGGAGCTAATACATTATTACATTTTTATTCGTTATCGACTTGAATATGAATGATCACACAAATGACCTTTTGAAGATAAACGTGTGATGGTTAATTTATAGAAGCCAAAAGCTTGTCAAACATCAAAAAGTCAATTTTATTTCAATCGATAACACTTCAATGTCTGTAATAAGCATTTTTTGAAGTTCTATTCAGCAAAATTAAAAATGTGGTTGTACATTGTTCAATGTACTTTAAATTGGTTAGAATATTCGTGAGCTCGAGAATGAAGCCATAAGAAAACCATAGATTTATTGCCCAAAACCAAGCGTTCAGAAAGACATACATTTATGCGAGCAATTGAATGATGCTTGCATCATTTGATGCGCATCGCTAGTGCTTTCGTTGTGCGTTCGGAGCACTTCGTGCGCTGCCGAAGATCCGAATGTATGGCGACAGCACAATCGATGCGCATCAAATGATGCAAGCATCATTCAATTGCTCGCATAAATGTATGTCTTTCTGGACGCTTGCCCAAAACGATAAAAAATAAAATTCACATATAGTTGGCGCTGCATTCTATGCAAACTTGTTTTCCGTTGCAACTGACTAAGTGGAAAGTATTTGCTTATTACATAGAATGTGGCGCCAACTATATGTGAATTTTATTTTTTATCATTTTAGGCAGTAATCTTATCGCTTCTTTTTTGAGCTCATATATATATTCTCTTTATGTAAAAACTTTGTCAGCAATGCGCTATTGAAGTCCTAAAGCATATGAGATTAATTTGTAGATTTTTTTTGTTATAGGATCATTCAACGCATTGATGATATATTATACATATTGTACATTCTTAAAATCGAATGCTTTTGTTTATACAAACTCAGTGTGGCAAAATAGACACGTCTGGTTCTTCGATTATAAAGTCATTTTTCGTCACTGGAACAAGCTATTATTATTTTACGGTGAAATAGAACGTATTTTTTTTTCTTTGACATGATGTTGGTAAGCAACGTTACATATGGCATATTATGAGTCATTGATGTGTGGTTTCGATCACAATTTGAACATCGTCGTACCATTTTTTGCCCTGCTTTATTCAAACAAGCATCTGATTAATTAATGAATATTTTCAATCTCGAAGCGAGTGTGTTCCAACAAATTCATTCACTCGTTTTCATGTAACAGCATCGAAAGAAAAAAGACAAATTAGCCGAATAATGTGAAAATGAAATTCAGCGTATCTGTTGTTCTTGCTCTGTCTCTCTCTAGTATACACGCTCATCGATATGAAAAATAATGACTTGAAGTAATTTGATACATGTTTTGTCTGCATTTTTTACGTCAATTTGCATGCAGTGGCTGTGGTTGTGATAGCAAGCCCCAAACACGAACATTTGTTTGTTGCTCCATCTACTGTCATTTACTCGAAATTCACATCAATACACACCTTGCAACTGAGTTTAGCACGCATAGAGACGGGGTTAGTGTATTTCTATGAATTGGTGCGAATAATTTCACAATTGTTTGAAATACAGCTACTCAGTGCTACCCATTATCATTGTTGTAGTTCTTCGCTATTAGCGAATCGCTAACCATTTATGGCGGCGCCACTGATGAAATAAAAAAACTTTTCACATTCTCATACATTATAAAAGTGGAGGAATAACCGGTACTATAATAGATTTCATTTGGCTTTGATGCAATTAATACCGATTAAAGTCATGATAATAGTAATAATAATAATAATATTCCATCTTTTGTACTCTTTCGACTTAAGATGTTTTTTCAAACGTTAAGAAATTCATTAAAGTCACGCATAAACTCGAAGTAACCGCTAACACTTGTTAGTAGCATGTAGTCAATTGACTGAAACCACAAAGGAAAAGTCTCGTAACTTAATCTATCGAATCATTCAATTTGAATGTAATTGATTGACTAAAAGCTGAGACGATTATGGATAAATTATATTTCATGTAAATTAATGGATGGAAATTTGCGATTAGAACTAGTATCGTATATTCCCCATACAAATTAATTTTATCGATTCTACGAATACGACATCTGTTGAAAAAGATACCGATTTTTGTTATTACTGTTGCTTTGACACAGGTCAAGCGAACTATACTATACGGCTATGGCTGTATTACTGACGAACAAAAGAACACACAGACTCCGATCCTGTGTATGAGCTGTAATAAAACACGAGCTATTATGATACGAGCTGTATTAAAACACCAGTAGTAACAGAAATCGGCGAGTTTTTTAGTAGATGTCGTATTGGTGGAATCGATAAAGAAAAATCTAGGATATAAGCGCTCATTGGAAATTTGTTCGTCTTGAATTGAAATTGACATTTGGGTATGACAGTCGATTCATTGACTTTACAAACTTATTTCAACAACGTACAGTTCTAATTCAATATGAGCTTCTTCATAACGTTTGTTACTTCTTTGATATTGGCATCACTTTTATTGCCAATTATTCAAAGATAAAGTGTTTTCATAAAAATAGAGTGGGTATTGAATTATAAAAGGACGTATCAAGATATTCAAATCTAAATTAAATCCAAGAGATTTTTTGTAGATTTAAATTAATAAAATTTATGGAATCATAACAAAACATAAACATCATAGCTTTAACTTTCATATGAAATTTCAAATTATTGGATACGAAGGCGGGTTTGGGTAATACGTAGCAACTTGTGGTCATTACATTTTCTTCGATTTGAATAGATTGAAAAATCTCTTTAAATCGTCTGGTTAAAAAAAAACAAATTTCCATTTGAAACAGATGAATGAAGCGAGTATTTTTTATTTGTATTTTTGCTAGACTGAGCATGAGGAAATTGGAGTTGAATGAAAAATGAAAACATTTAACCATTGTAGACGGATAGAATGAAAAAGTTACATAATTCACACAGCTGACAATTATTTTGCACTGTCGCATTTTTACAATAAGGCAAATTTTCCGCAACAACAATATACAAATTTAATATGCGATGGGAATGCGTGAAATAGCAATACAATGGAAATTGCTCTTCGTTGTTTGAATGTCTGTTTTAAAAATTTTGTCAAATTGGATATATGTCGCATGGTGAGAAGCTTTACAATCAAGCGAGGCGTTTTATTTTACGTTTTTTCGTTTCTCTCCCTCTCTGTATATCTCTGCTGAACGCAATACAGCTCGTATAATATTTGTTTTGTTTAGCAGCGAAAATTTCATTTCAGCTGAAACCGCGAATAGATTTTACTATACAAACTGTGTATTGATTATTTTCTTCTTTCAATTGATTCAGTTGCGTGATTTTTGTTTTTTATTTTCATTGACATTCTGAATGGATTTAATTTGGCGCGCATCTATTTGTGTTTCTAAATGAAATTGTTCAAATAAACGCATCAAAACGATTTCGAGGAAGCAACGTAATCTAATGAGATAGATAAAAGAGAGAAAATGCGAAAGAGGAAGTTGATTGAAATGATTTTGTCCATTGAATGTTTCATTACACATTTCCCAAAGTCTGTGCTTGACAAAGACTCATTTCTTTTGTATATGCTTTTGCGCTTAACATTCAGCCAAAAAACTTGACTGAAACACTGTTATGAAAATATCGATTAATGAAAACGGTTAAAATTGCGCTATGACATCTACCGAATGAAGTTGAAAATGGCGAAAATAGATTGTATTGAATCAGTTACTTCGTTATATTGGCTGTTACTCAAAAGCCGCACATTCAAATTCATTTGGATTCCGATTGGATGTTTTCATATTTCACGTTATTTGCGTCAAGCAGAGTCATATCGTACTATCAGTATTTCTACTGTGAAAAGTGTTGTTGTAGTTTGAATTTGCTTGCTCCGCATGAAACTGAAAAATTCGAATTGCAACTGGCCACACGATATTTATTGGGCATTTCGTGCATAGAATTCGATACAAACAAACCACTAAACACATTCAATGTAAAGTATGCGTACCATTCAAATGGTAAATATCGATACGATACATTCAATGCGCTTAACATAGACAAGTGAAAAGAACGTGGCAAGCGTCGCATTTTCGGGTAAATAAAATATTTCATTGAATTTTCCATGCAGAAAATGAAAAATGGGGTCAGTTTTAGAACCAAAAAAACCAAGAATAAAATATATCAAACTGATTGTGATCCTTTTGAAAAAGCATATGAGAATGGTAAACATATGTTGATTCTTTCAAAAATTCTATCTCTTGTTTTGTAGCAACCGATGTTGTTTGATTCAACATGTTTTTTTTGCGAAAGGAGAATTTATGTGAAAAAAATTTCTTTTTCGTATCCTTGATCATGAAAGCATGTCACAGAAGACAAAAAAAAG